TCCAATTTGGGCCCAGAACCCCCCTGAGTTTTGTTTTCTATTTCATTCTTCTTTTAATTATTTAATTGTTTTTGTTTTATTATTTTTAACCACTAACCAATTAAAACTTTTTTCTTAATAAAATTAAAAACTAAAAAAAGCATTTTCATTATTAAAATTAATTTCCAGCATTTTATTTTTGTTAAATAAATTAATTTAATTAATTTAGTTTAATTAGGAAATAACTTTAATATCTTTTGCAAATAATTAAAATTAACTTAGACAATTAGGGTTTTTATTAACTTTGATTAATTTATCTTTATTTCTTTAAATATCAAAAATCCAAAAATAGAATTTTATTAATTAATTAATTAATTTGTTAATTTAATGCTTAACCTAATTTAATTTCTTTTCAATTCAAAAATAAACCAAAAAAAATCTTTTCTTTAATAATCAAAGGGTCAAAACCCTAAAAAACTCGCATTCGATTGAATTTCCCGCACGCGTGCTATTTTTATTCAATATTGTATCTGTTTCCCGGAATGTAATAGTTTAATAAGACTTTACTATTTTTTATCGCTTTATTTATTTTCCGCATTTTAATTTCAAGGGTTGCTTTTGGCGATGTAAATACCCGACGCCTTGTAATAGTTAGTTTAATTTCCGCAATTTAATTTCCGCAACTTATAAACGGTTAGATGCTTGGTAATAGGGAATGCATGACAAGATCGAATTTTTAAACCTAAAATCAACATAGATAACCACTAACATGTGTAAAGATAAATAACTGAAAACAACACACTCGCACATGCACACTCTTAGGGTACACTTTGCTTGGTTGCCTTCGAACGTGGTCATTGAGTATAGGAAGTTTTAGAGGTCGCCCTCTTGTCCAAAGATCATAGTTGCCTCGAAACGGTTGCCTCGGAAAAATGATCTAAGACATTAGGGTTACCGCTAAGGCGTCCTAACATTGCTTTGGTGACCATACGTCCCTTAATCGAATTGACCCTTAAACTCCAACGAAGGTGCTACCTACTCATTCATAGTGGGATAGCACTGTCTAAAGGATATTAGCACAGATTGATTCCTTTTTCGAGTAGGTAGATGGTTCTTAAGTACTTGCTCCTTTCAAAACAAAACAAACTTTCACACTTACACTCCTTTTCAAAACAAAAACTTCTTTCAAACCCACAAACACAAAGAAAAGCAAATTTTGAAAACACTTTGAGCAAGTACCTAAGAGCCCGTGGATAACCACGGATAGAAAGGGTGCTAACACCTTTCCTTTCTATAATCTACCCCCCGGACCCGGGAAACATCTCGAAAAAGGAATTTTTCTGTGTTTTTCTTCCTTTCCTTATTGGATAAAATAAAAGACGGTGGCGACTCTTGCTTACCGCGACATTTTGCGAAAACAAACGCAAAACGCAAACCAGCATTCCAAAAAACAGTCAGTTCTCTCCCACTGTATCACAAGTGGTAATTACACTAAGTTTATCTTGATTTAATCTTGAACTTGATAGTGTGATGGAATCCTTGTGGTTTGTGGATTCATGAAATGATAACTTCATGGAAACCTTATAGGGAGGTGACAAACTTTTATATAGAAGACATGTGTGTGTCACAATGAATAATGTAAGATTATTCACTTAGATAAACATAGAATTCATGATATGTGTGAATGATACATGAATTATGTGGTTGCAACGATACTTCACTCAACTAACACTTGCATAGAGATTGTTCGTCTCATAGTGTATACATTTCCAGATGACACCCTTGGATAGTGTTCTCAATATCTTTTAGCGTGCAAGTATACACAATAAAAGTGATCATAAGCGTTTAAAAGTAAGAGTACAATCACACAAAAGGTTGTATTAACTAAAGTCAATTTTCAATTCAAAAGTTGATTTAATCTGTCATGCCTTCCTACTTGGGTTGATATTGTGCTTGTTTAAGGTTTAGAGTATTACTTTTCCCCAGATATGCCTATTTAGTTATCCTATATGATTCCAAAGTCTGGCCCAGAGGAAGAGGTGGAGAGGTATTCTTTGATAGTGCTTTCTTACTCTTGATTATTTCTTGAATTACACCCTTGTTATCTGCAAAATAGAGTGAATACAAAGGTTAAATAAATTACTAAGGAAGCAATGAAAACATATATAAAAGTTGATTCCAGCTCCTCATCAAATATCTCCCTCTTTATTTTTTACATGCCTCCTCCACCAGCATTTATGTTTCAATGTACTACTTTTTCTGCTGAGACACTGATACATCTGAAGGACTGACCAAGTCCATAAATCTAAGCACTCCTAAAAAGAAATAAAATCAACCCTCAAGCCTTTTTCTTCTGGTGTCAGTTCCTCTAGAGGGAATACATACTTATTTGGAGTTTATAAGAAATTACTACGATTCCAATACTTGGGGAATCAATCCTCACATCTAAGCGGTTGCAAATCATAGGGCAAGACAAGGAGCACATAAACTTAAACGTGCCTCATAACTTTGAGGAACGATTAAAAATATTGATCATTGAAGTTCTTGAAGATGCCAATAAAAACGTCCAACATTTTCTTCACTTGAAAAAACAAAAATAACTCTTACCCTTGTTGTGTCTTAGAAGAAGTACATTTCATATTGAACAGGTGAAAAACAACTTCATAGTTGGTACCTTGTTCCTATACCCACACAAACATTGGAATACCTTTACATATGCCTAACTCATTGGACGCAAATGAGAATGATCAACCTTTAGGTGATATAAACCCACACTTAGAAGTCGTTTAAGGGAATTCTAAACCCATATCCTAGAGAATTTACACTCGTGAAAAGGCAACGAACATTGGTCAAAAGAGCTACACAACCTCATACTAGGCTCTATGTAAGAAACAGGCCAGACAAAGGACGAGTCAACGCCACAATGAGTGTTTTACAACCTACATGCCTTAAGAAAATCATAGGGTATCCCTGACATTTCCATATCCATCCACAAGTAGTGATCAACATCAGTATAAAGCTTGAGATCTTGTTGTCCCCTCTAAACCATTTCTTCATCATTGTTAACAAACAAAAAATCCCGACCGTGATTTCCAGAATATGCACAAGATTTAAGATATTGTCTAACCTCGACGTCGATAAGTTCTCGGCCATTTAGAGTCCTAAAAGATTTAAAATATACACAAGTCCTCAAGTCACCCTGGTAATCCTCAATCATATCGAGGTTCACCACGGGTACTTCAGGGAAAGCTAAATGGGTTAGTTCCCCCCCCCCCCCCAGGTTCTTGACCATTCAGAGTCCTAAAAACTTTAACATAGACACAAGTCCTCAAATCACCTCGGTAATCCTCAACCATTTTAGGGTTCTCCATGAGTACTTCGTGTAAAGCAAAATTGTAGCCAACTTCCCTAAGATCAAGCATAAATGGGTAGCCTCCACCCCCATTACGTGGACCTAATCTAGAGCATCATTAAGTATGTTGGATGACTAGGTGGAACATCATTAGAGAGTTGAGCACCTAACCCTAGCCGCTCAAGCATCGCCTGCCATGAAATTTAATCAAAAAATTCTCTACATCAGACGTCGGGTTAGACGAAGGTGGTTTTAACTTTCTATCATATAATAGTCTTGTCACATGTTATTTACAGATATTATCTCTCTCTCACTCTCAAATTAGATCTCTTTGATTTCTCTAATTTTGACATTAGAGTAATAACCTTGTAGATTTTTCTATCTTATTTGAAGTTCTCACTGTTGTGTCGGAAGAACATGTTCTCCGATCATCTTGTTTTTCTGTTCCACATAACACTTAATAAATAAAAAATTAATATAAAATAATATTTAAAATATTAAAGTTAAATAGAGTAATCTAACATGTGTGAGAGTAATCTAATGATTGAGGAATCACAATCTATTTTTAAAAATATTTATTTTAAAACCTAATATAATAATAATAATTTAAAAGTCGTATAGTCAATTCTGTAAAATCTAAAATATATTCTTTCCAACAGAGCTTTTAGTTTTTTTAATTGTTTGCATTACATATATGTAAAATGACGAATTTAATATAATTTTCCAAAAATTAAAATAAAATTAAAAAATTATAAAAATTAAAATCAAAATCAAATAAAAAATTATAAAAACTAAAACTAAAAGTAATATATTTAGTGAAAAAAATTATATATTTAAACCTATTTAAAATTAAAAAGCTAGAATGGATTTTCCATATAGATTAGGTAGTATTAAAGGGAGAATCTAGAGAGATTAAGGTTGGTTAGGTTCTTGAGTTCTGTGGGCTGTGGCAGTGTTATGAAATTCCTACTATGATATTGATACTACCAATAACAAACCAATATTCTGTTTATGCAAATTGTTAGGGAGACACACTATCGACATACATTTATCTTACAATATCGTCATCCTTACCCCCACTACTTTAATCTCTAGAGAGTAATTCTCAACAAAAATATCAACAAAACATTCTCTTTTTATTATATTTATAATATCAAATAAGAATTACAGTAAATATTTAATATTTCTAACCCATGGTTTTTTCCAAGGTTTTAAAAAATTATCTGCAATCGACAGACCAATCGATTTTTTCTATCAACCGAGCCCGGTTTTTTCTAGCCTCACCAATCATCATAAACATAACAGATTTTCCTATCCTTTCTTTATCTATAGCTTTACACTTAATCTTCTTACTAAAATGGAACCTCTTCACATCAAAACTCAATTCCCTAAAGTCACAAATCTCTTACGGTTTTATTAAATTTTTTTCAAAATATTTCTATAATTTGTCTGAAAATCCTTAAATCAGAAACTAAAATGAATATTACTTGCTAACAAACCTTCATTTCAACCTCAAAAAATTTACATTCCCGAACTACTAATGTACAAAGTACTTTGTTTGTGAGTACATAAAATTACACATGTTCCATAAAATAAAATAAAATAAAATAAAACACAAGATCTAAAAATTCTAAACCAATCACAGAACATGCAAACCATGTCTTGTTTCTCAAACGTTGTCATCCGTTGTTGTTTCCGTTGTTGTTTGTGTCGTTGTTCCTGTTGCTGTTCTTTCCACACTCTCTGCTCTTCTTACATGATTTTCACTACCACTTCCTTGTTTCACTGTTGAATCATCATTGTCGTCTTCATCTTCATCATTGATATTTTCCTTTGGTTTCTGATTCTGGTCACAGGTACATGTACTAGTGTTATCACCAAAAGAGGACGATCTACTGGTTCCTGTGCTTGAAGACATGCTCGGTGTTGCTAAGAATGTTGGTTTCTCTTGTCCAGCCATGATAACCAGGATTTTCTCCTCGTAAACTTTCTGAGGCTTTTGATCGGTTTCATTTGTTCCGTCTCCAGCTTCAAGGTCGCGTTCTGATTCGCCGTTACCTTCGAGGTAACCGGAGAGTTTCCAATAAGAACATGCAAGGATTAAGAGAGCGAAAGCTATCAAACCTAACATGGCTGCTAAACCGCCGAAGAGGTAAGGGACTGGTGAATGCCAGGGGGAGTGTGGTGTTTGGGAGGAGATTGGTGCTCTTTCGGTTGTGCTCATGGGTTCTCTGTATGCTGCCATTTTTGGTTTTGGTGTGAAATAGAGAGAGAAAAACAGAGAAAACAGAGGAGAGGAAAGTGGTTATGAAGGTTGGGTTGTGAAGTGGGTATTTATAGAGACTTAAGAAATGGGGTTTCATTTTTTATTTTATTTTTTATAATGGATTTTGTGTGTGAAAGAAGGTTTAAAAAGGTTTTTTTTTATTAAAAAAAATAATTATTCCAAGTAACAACTAATATGATGGATCAATAGGCCATTAGCAAGAGAATTTGGATGAGATAGGAAGAGATTTTGGATTCCAATTCAGACATAAATACACATGACTGTTAAATTATTTTGAATAGTTTTATTATTTATTGTAATTTTTTTTTATTGAGAAGATTAATCTTTATAACTACGTGCAAAGAATATTTTGATTTTATAGTAGAAAAAAAGGTAATCTAGTAATAAGGAATTTTTTTTTTAAATAATCATTTTTTTAAAATTTTTTTTCTCAAATAACCATCTACTATAACGTATGCATGTAATAAATTCAACTGTCAAGCTACAGTAGATGACACCTCTTCTCTGACATTACATGTAAAATCATACAATGTGGCGCCTCTTCTTTAAATAGTATGCATGCGCTATACAGAGTGGCTACTCCTCTGTGTGATAATTTTTTTTTATTTAAAAAATAGTTAGTTTGATAAATTTTTTAAAAATACGATTATTTTAAAAAAAAGTTTTAAAAACGTGATTATTAAAAAAAAATTTAACAACAACAGTTCAATTAAACATAATTTATTAACAACTAATATGGTGGATCATTAGTCCAATACCAAGAGTATACTATGTATATTGTGGTTTTTTTAATTTTTAATTTGAGAGATTAATGTTTTCAATTGAGCATATAAGATAATTTATTTATGTAAAAAATTATAAAATTAATTTGTAAGATAAATATTATGTATATTTATAATCATATTTTAGAAATATAAATAGATGTAAAATTCTTTGAACACTCTTTACTTCCAATACTATAAAGAATGACACTCCTAAATTACAAGTTTTCACCATGATGTCAACATCTGATTTAGAAGAGAGGTGATTTATGTTTGTCATTATAATTTAATCAATTGATTAATTGAAGTAGTGGGGTCTATAACTTTGATAGTTTTGTAATTATTTATTCATTTAGTAATTATTTATTTAATTTTTGGGTTACTCAATTTAGGATAGGATTAGTGCCAGTGAAACGCACTCACGAGGACCCTACAAACATGTCATATCAAAATCATTTCCTAGAGTAAGAGGAGAGAATATGATCCTTTTGCATGTTTGGCAACAAGCAAACTCAAAATATTTATTCTTGTACACCAAAAAAATTACATTATTCGAGAACATTGGATACATTCTGGAATAAAATTAAATGTAGATATAATATACCTATGGATACATTCTCACATCTCAATTTTATAAAGTCAGACTCAAAGTATCTACTCATTCTTGTGGCCTTTACTGTATAAGAATATTACTAATTAATTCATAGATATATGATTCTAAAACTAAACCAAATGCATGTGTTGCCACATTCTAATTTTAAATTAATATATGAAATGCATGTATGATTCATGATATTGGATTAATGGTATCTATAAAGATTATGTACTATTTATAAAAAATAAATATAAAGTGAAAATGCTCTGGTGGCTGCGTATCTTAGTTTTATTTTAAGTTTCATATCTTAATTAATTATAAATTCAATATAATTAATTATAACTTGGATAAGAGATACCGACTTTCTAATCATCTGATTTGTTTCTCTAAAACTAAATATGATAGCTGGAATTATAAAATATGGAAAAAGAGATTCCCCTCCTAGAATGCTTGGGATTGGGATTTCTTTTTATTATCATTATATTCTATAATAATTCTTACTACTTACTATATAGCTTTGGATGCTCTTCGCTTACTCTTTTTTTTTAGTTCTCGTGTGAAAACTAATATTTTTAAATTCTGGTAATAGATAATTTTTGAAAGAAAAATTTATTAAATTTAAGATAAAATTATTTTCAATTATAAATTTATGATTAATTATAATTTTTTTATTTAATCTGATTTGGTTCAATTTAATATTACTTTATTTGAATTGATTTAGATATTTAAACTAAAAATTATAATTCTCCAAAATTAATATGATAGTGAAAAAAATATAAATTAAAAATAATATTTCTTATTATTAATATTAATGTTATAAAAATTCTCCAAAGTTAACATCTAGTAAATGTTTTAGACTTGGGAGTATAATTTTTTAAAATTTAATTTTAAATTCTATTAAATATAAATACTTTTTATATGAAAATATGCTAAAATTAGTACACATCATTTTAATAAAATACCAACACATCCAAATTCAAGTTTAAACCTGATCGTATTTGATCAGAATAGACTGTTACAACTTACGTCGAGTAGAACTTGACAGTGAGGTGGGAGGATGAGGGTATCTGCAAGACACTTTGATGTCAAAGTGACATTCAGAATGAGCAAGCAAGTAAGAGAGTGAGAAAATATTTAATACCTGACCCTCTCAAAAGAGATGGTATTTATAGCCCCCTGCGTTGGACCAAGGTCTCCATTGTTGGGCCACGTTGAGGCCCAATAATGGAGACTGTTAGAGCTTACGTGTGTATGGAATCCAACAAGTGGACTCTCCCTGGTCAACTGCTCCGTGAGAATAGGGGTTGGACCCGTGATTTCTGGAGGGCAGTTAAGATGACGGTGATATGGGGACGTGGGCCACGTTCCCAAACGGATGTGTGGGGAGTTGTTCAACGGTCCCTAGCTTGGATTGCTTACTTTTGGGTCTTATACAAGGGTGTTGGATTGGGCCTCCCAACTGGGAGACAACTGCAGGCCCAGTCCAGAACAGGAGCCCCCAAGTTATTGCCCCTAGGTGAAAGGGTGATGACTTAAGTTCATCTTTTATAGCCGGAGAGAATTTGATCGGGAAGGATGGTCGAAGTCCTCTGAAAGGAAGCGAGTTGTTGCCCGAGTAGGGGACAACCTGTTTGAATGTGTCGGGGATCTTGTGGACAAACGAGCAGTGAGACCGACGGGTCAGTTGTTTTCCCGAGAGGACCCTATAAGTTACAGGGAGCTTCTACGAGTTCTCTTTCGACGTGTCTGTCTTCAAGGGGTTGTCACGATGTCGAGCGTTATTTCGCCCTCAACATAGATCGTGATGAATGTGCCTGTATACATGTCTCAGCCATGGCATCGAGCATTCCCTTGTGTGAAGTGTCTGTCTCGTGCTTGCATGGGGATTACGTGTTGAAATCAGAGATGTGTTCGTCTATTGAGAATGGACACGTGGTTGATTGTTGGGCTACATGGTTGTTGCTTTGGGGTGTCATCCCTTCAGGGGGAGTCCAAAAGGCTCAATCCAATGATGACTTTTCGTGATGAACTTTGTGGGGTGTGAGCCACCTATAAAAGGGGACCCCTGAGTCTCATTTGTCATTTTCTTAAGTTTTCTCCTTCAGCTTCCCTTGCTCGCGCGTGAAGCTTTCCTCTTAACTTTTCCAGATTTCTTTCAAGAATACTTCATCCAAGTAAGTTATATCTCCTTAACAACGTATTTTCTTAGCGTTTCTAGATTAAACACCTAATATTTACCTTGACTGAATGAATATTCATGAGTTATGTGATGAACACTCATGACTGTTCATTGAAGTTCATGGATTTTGTGACGAACACTCATGCATGTTCATTGAAGTTCATGAGTTTATGATGTCGGGGACAGTCTCCCCGAATATTGGCCATGATGCAGGGGATGATCTCCCCAGATAATGGGGGTTGACTCAGGCTTCTTTCCCGTTTGAGTAATATCCCCAATGAAAATATAGTCCGCTTTAGCGTATAGTCAATGGCTTGGGTCGAGTTCATCTCCCTTTCACTTGATCTGCGGTGGAGTGGTGAATTTGATAATGTCAAATTCACTGTTTTCTCCTACTTTTCAGGTATAATGACACACTCGGTCGGGGGTGATGTTCTGCCCGCCAACTATGAAGATGAAACACGCATCGATGAGGACCCCTTGGCATGGGTCGTACCTGAGCCTCGAAATAAAAGATCGTTCTTTTCTCATGATGCAACGGACGCGTTCAACTGTCCGGAGGTACGAGTGGAAGGGGCCCCTGCCAACTGGATCCTTCAAATTCCTCATCACAATCGGAGAATCTGCTCGACGTATCCGGGAAAACATCTTCATATGTACGAGTTCACGTTTAAAGAGGCGGCGATGCGTTTTCCCTTCAACGATTTCCAAGTGGGGGTTTTCCCAGTGGCTTCAATTGGTGCCCTCTCAACTTCACCCAAATGCACTGTCGTTCATGCGGGCGTTCGAGCTTGTCTGCCAGTATCTGCAAATAAGGGCCACACTTCCCCTTTTCTTCCATATCTTTCACCTTCAAAGACAATCCCTCAGAGGAGGGCAAGGGTGGGTGGGTGTCCTTCAAACAGTTCGGGACACTCTTTAGGCCTCATCTGGAACCTGTCTGACACTTCAAAGAGAGGTACTTTGTTGTGAAACCTTTGACGGACGCGACCATAGACTCCATATACACCCGCGTGGAGGAATTGGAGGATGGGAGACCAATTACCCGACTCGTGTCCAGATTTTTTCTCGAGTGGCAATGGAAACACTTCGAGCAAAGGCCTGATTATTATGTTGTGAAGCCCGAGGACTTGGACGCTCAGGACTAGCTCTCCTATGAGAAGTTGGCGACCTATGTTAGGAGCTTTTCCCCTAGGAGGTGTGTGGACATAAATAACAACCTCTTATTCGATAACAACAGGGAGTACCTCTTAGTTAATAGGTTCATCAACACGAAGGCCCTGCTCGAATGTTCCTCAGACGAGGAAGCCATGAGGCTTTTAGGTAGGGGGACGCGGTCGTGATGATTACTTTTGCTTTCCTTTCAGTGGGGACGTGCCCGTGTTATTATCCTTGTTTAACCCATGAATGATGGTTTCTTTTT